CAAATAATTGGTTCGCGCCGCGCAATTAGCGCCGCGCTCAGGACAGACCGCCCGCGGGCGCAGCGTGCGTGTGGCCCTCTTTCTTCCTCCGTGGGCCAAATCGAGACTCGCAGGCCTCAAACAGGTACTCTGCGAACGTCGTGACAAAATCGAGAGCGAACGAAAACGTTATGAAAAAAAATGATCCGCAGCGACCGGTCGGCCGGCGGCGTCGCCGATTTTCAGCCCTAATGACCATAATGATCGGACACGAAATAATATTATGCAGCTGAGGCGCGATTTATGGCGACTAATCATTTCGTGCGCGCGGCACACGCGGCCGGCCTCTTCAAAGAGAAAATATTTTATGTTTCAATTCAAAAGTTGCGAAAAAATGTATATACATTTGAAATCTACAAATAAATAAAAATATTAAAAAAAAACTTGGTCACTTTCTAATTTCAAATTGTCCTGCTTTTCGCTTCCTTTGATAAAAATTGAGAAATAGTTTTTAAGAGGCTCATTATTAATTTTTTTATGACAAACGTTTCAGCCTTGAAATGAATATATATTTATCTACTTCAATTCTTTAATTATGTTTTTTTTTTCTATATTTTATTTTTATTTTCCGTTACTATATAGTAGAGAGTCGGTACTGCACGTTTATATTTCTCAAAAGGGCAAAAGTGAAACGGAGAGCTCCGATAAGGGATCGAGTTTCCACTCAACCCTGGGGCGACTAATTAAGCAGATATGAAAATGCGCAGAGAAAATTTTGATCTCCGCTCAGCCCTGGAAGGCGCAACATTCAACTTGCGCAGCTTATTTTTATCCAGCAACCTTGTGTTAATCAGTATGTAATACTGATTTTTTTCCTGTTCAAGCAAACAACTTTTTGAAAATTAATTTTTATAAAATATCGTGTGAAATTTGATAAAAAAAATTATTTCATTCACATTGAATATTTTAACTTTAATTTTGTTTTTTATAGTGAAGGACTTACGCTTTGTCTGCACACTTAAGTGAAAAAAATGATTGACCTTTCTTGATTTTTTTCCTTTATATTTTTGGTCGCATTGGAAATTCCGCTTTGTTCACAGCGCGAGCAGTGACGCGAAGAAAGCGCAGAGCAAACAGAACAAATTTGAGCGGTGCACGTTAGAAAAAAACGATGGCGCGGAAAACGCGATTCGACTCGGGCGGCTGTGCCGTGGGAAAAATCCACAAGAATGTGAGAAAAGTGTAACATTCAGGGATTCCGGGAGACTTAATAATCTGTCTCAAAATGCTATCATATGCTAGTAAGACAATTTGATTTTTTTAAATAAAAAGAGAGGTAAATGATTAAAAGTTAAAATTTTAACGATTAACATAAATCAAAAAGTGAAGGGTAAAAAATTAATTTCGATTAATTTAAAAAAAATCGTCTTTAGTTCATACATATAACTCTACATTTGAGACACCAAATAAAGCAATTTAACTAATCTTTACTTTTTGCTTTCCTAATAATAATTGTATTTTGACTTATATTTTATTAATAAACATTCAATAATTGTGTTCTTTTCGTTTACTTGTTAAAAAAGGTTTTTTTGTGGAAATTTTTTATTTTTTCTTTAGGACATTGTATAATTAAATTTCATCCAAAGCAAAGATTATGGAAAATTTCTGGGGAAGAATTCAAATCGGCCACATGTATATTTTTGGATTGGTGTGAGGCCACCCAGCTGCATGCGATCTTGAGCGTTGTTCTGCTGCGTGTTATTGTCGATAAATCAAACGCGCACGGCGCATTTGTTATCACGTCGGTGTTTGAAGTCAGCGCCCGCGGCGCACAAAGAGAGACCCGGCAGCTCGCCTGTATTACTTGTGTTGTACGAACCACTAAAGAGCACAAAACGCCCTTTGTTGCCCGCACAGAGATCGCCGCGTGTGTATCAATCTGACTGACTGTGACTCTGAAACATCCCTGATTCCTTTCAATAGACGCTAATAGCGACACAGAGCCCTCCAAAGAGGTCGAAAAGGTTGTGGCATAAAAATATTAAAAAAGGAAAAAATTGTCCTGACAGTTTTCAGCTGGGAATTATGCAGGGAACGAAACACTTTTTCAGCATTATTACATTAATTTGAATGTACACAATATTTTATTTAGCTTTAAAATACAAAAACAGCATTTATTGTAAAAAACATAACACATTTGTACATTAATCATTTTTTTATTAATTTTTTAATTTAATATTTATATAAATTTTTAAGTTTTATTTTGATATTACGTTTTAATATTTATTTTTAATTCATGCTATTTAATAGATTTAAATAAACAACATATTTAATCAAGAATTAATACAAAATTAATTTGACAGATACTGCTACTTACTTTTTTTCAAATGCTAGAAAATTGACATTTAATTTGTATAAATTTTTTCAAGAATAATAAAAAAATAAAATTTTGTATTTATCAATCAATAAACTAAATTTAATGGAAGTTTTTTATTACTATTGAAATACAATTTTTAGCTTCAAAGTCAACATATTAAGAACAAATGGAATAATATCAAAATAATACCAAACAAATTATGTGAGCCAATTTGGGAAGATTGATCAAAATTTAATTAATATGCATAGTAAGGGAGGTAAATCGATTCAGAGCCGCTGCGATTACGCATGCAAAGCAAACAGCAGGAGACGCAGACGAGTTTTGATTTCTGGCTTGGCCATTTCGAATGCTGCGGAAACATCGATTTGACGCTCTTGTCGCTTCGGGTGCGCGTCGAATTTCTTGAATTCTCCGTGCAACAAAGTTGATATTCAATCTGAAGCCTCATTCATAAAGGTTTGTTTAACATTTATCACGGATACCAATTAAGAAAATAAATTCATAATGTAATTGAGATACAAAATTCAACTGTATAGTTGATAATTCATTTGTGGAAATTGTTTTTCATATTAGGTAGATATTTTTGAAAATTATCTGAAAAGAATAATTAATTATAATTAATTCTTTTGGTATTTGCAATATTCATAAGGTCTCAGAGTTTTACAGAAACAGAGCAGTCATTTTCTTTTGATATGCTTAAAATAAAATTAAAAAAAAAAAAATATGCGCCACTAGGTTTAAAATTGCCAATAATTTTTTTATTATTTTTTAATAAATCAATGAAATTTGAGATAACTGTTAAATTTTGAAACATTTTATTTGCAGAAAAATTAAATAATCCAATTGCAATTACATGTAAATGAAGATGTTCTGTACAAAATTATTAATGTCTTTGAAAATAAAAATAATGATATTATATTTTAAAAATACAAATTGACACGTTCAAGCTCTCTCGGCTTGTTTGATCATACACCCTGCTGCTCTTTTCCTTGGACTCACCTGCCGGCTCTTCTCTTTTGGTTTTGTTTGTTTTCGGCACTCAAGGTGCTAACTACTCGTTGCCAATCTCAATTACGCTCTTTCGGCTAACACGCAAGCAAAATCGAATTTTCCACCGCGCGTTCCTCCTCGCAATCATCAGTTATGCGAACGATAGAGCAAAGCAAGGAGCAGCTGCGCGTCTACTTTTCTTGCAAACCAAACTTTCGTATGTGTGTAACTATACCGAAAAAGGGGCGTCACGCCTGATTTTCGGCTCTGAACCGGTCGAATTCGCCACGGCTGCCGTGTCCCGTCCGTTGTCGACGCCAAACGCAGCTGCGCCCTTTTCCGTTTTTCTCTCTCCGCGTTCCCAGCCCGTCATCAACTATCCTCCAACAAACGTCTCGTCTCGTCTGTGCCGGCTAATTTGGCGCCGAAAATTCATTTTCCATGCCGCCTTAAGAGTCTCGCGTGCCGATTAATTAGCCGACGCGAACACCTGTTGCCCCTCAACTGCTCAACGCAAATCTCATTTCGATTGGAGACGCTCAATTTTCTCCACTGGTTCTGTTTGTTTTGGCCCATTCATTTTTTTTCAAAGCTGAAGAAAAAGAAAATAAGAAATAAATTGATTCTTACAAGCAAGAAACTTAAACAAAATATCCCTGGTAAATTTGAAATTTTATAGCATTGTTATACAGTTCATAAAAAGATATATGACTTATTTTTCTCCACACCTTCTCGATTCATTTGACTGAATTAATAATCAAGTCAATACAATTTTTTTACCTCCCTCTTCTCTTACAATTATCCGTCACCAAGATTATTAAACAAGCAAGAATTATACTTAAATAATAACTTGGAATAAAACTTAAAATCTAAAATACAAATTACCTTGAATTTGCATTTAATACGTATATTTTTAAACTTAATAGATTTATCTTGCAAGTTAAAGTGGCTCTGATATTAAATGGACCATATAAATTAAAACAATTCATATGTAATATCTTAACTCTTGTGATCACTTCACATTCACAATGAAGAGTTTTTCTACTCTACTTTTGTGCGCAGTGGCGGTGCCGCCTGTTGACCCCGAGTGCGAGGCCCTAGGTTTGAAATTTACAACTACAAAAATAAATTAAGCTAATGTCTTAAATTTTACATCCGTAGGGCTAGATCACACTCCAATAAATTTGTGATATATTTCTATTTTGAGTTGGTGCAGATATATAATTTTTAAATAAAATTCATATGATGCACAGCAAATATTGTAATTTATAATTTGATTACAGTATTAAAAAACTTAATTTGCAGTCAAAATTCATTTTTCAATCGCTTTAATAAATTTAATGTTCTTTCATGTGCAAAGTAGTAAAAATTACTTAAATTTTTTACCTGAATTTAATAAAAAAAAAATGCACAGTATATTAAATTTAATTATTATATGTAAATGAAAATTATTATTTTTATTTTATAAACTTTTTTCAAACTACCAAAAGTAAACAAGACTGTTATACTTAAAAAACATCTTGCCATGACGTGCCAAAAAAAAATGTATATCTTTTGTAGTATTACCGCTGTATCAATAGCCAAGAATAATTGACGCACCTGCATGAATTGTGTAATCTCACAGTTTCAAGAGACTCTCTGATTGATATATCTGATATAAAGTCCTTATAATGAGCATATAAAGATCAAGACGCATCTTCACAGTAAATTACTTCATAACTGTCACCATGAGGCTTTTAGCTGCGGTTTTATTTGCTGCTCTACTATCGTGTGCTGTTGCAAAACCAATCAAACCAGAGTGCGAAGCTTTATTAGGTTTGGAAAATATATTTATAAGAAGCAAGAATAATCGCATAATTTCAAATCAACAGCACAGAATCTAACGTTGGCCAATTTGGATACAGGCATCTACTTTTATGATGATTTTAGTGGATGGGTAAAAATCAAAATTTATTTGATTATTCATTTATTAATTTATTTAAATTATTGCTAATTGTTTTGATGTTGAATTGAAAAATCAATTGAAAATATCAGCTTTAATGGTAAAAAATTAATTAATATCAAGATTTCAAAATATATAAATGTAACTACTTTGCACAACCTCTTCAACACGTTTGTCTCTAAATTTGAGTTATTAGTCAATAATTTTGCTATAAATAATTATATATTTACTCCTTTTTAGATGTCTTTTGATGCCACATTTGAGTACTGCTCCAACCGTGGCCTAGAGATGGTCACTGCAAACAGTCTGCTTGAAATACAAAATTTGTGGAACATGACCAAAGGTATTTTTTTTTTATAAGAAAGTGCAAAAGCGGATTTCTTTTTGTCTAATTTATTAAATCGTTCTAATTCAAATTTACTGTCCCAGGAACCATCTGGACCTCTGGCCAGTGGGTTTATGACAGCGCAAAGCCACCCGGTGACTTCCGTTGGGTAGGTGGTGCTGTCATTCCCCTTAATTCTGAACTTTGGGCACCGGGGGAGCCTGACACTTACCTCGAAGGCAGGCACTGCTGCGTTCAATGCAACTCGGGCAGACTCCACGACGCCAAATGTAGCGACTGGTACGCGCCTGTGTGTGAAATTCCAACAACATGTTACAAATAAAAACTTTTTATTTTGAATAAAATTTAAATTTGATACTTAACAAAAGAAAATTAATCATTATCATTAATTTGTTACGTCAAAACAAAATGCAAGCAACCTTTCTCACTATTAAACCATCGTGATAAGAAAATCTTTATCTTTAAGTAGGACTGATAATGAAGCACTGGATAATTTGCCGATTCACTCTCAATGAAGTGTTTACAAAAAATGCATCGAACTCTGGTGCTCGTTATTTCTGCTGTGATTTATATTTGCCATGGGATAGAAATTAATCCAGAATGCAGCCAGCTGGGTATGTTGAAATTTCTAAAATTAATTTTGATTAATATCAAAGAATTTTATACATATGGCAGGTCAATTCTTGACACTGACTAATTTGGAAACAGGAGTATACGCCCTTCGAAATGATTCCCTAGTTAGTATAATATTTTTTATTTTAAATTTTAAGAATATTTTTTTATACAAATAATTGCTATTTTTATTTTAGTTTAACTGGAACAACGCAGAATCCTTCTGCAGGTCGCACAACCTGACATTGATTACTTTGAATTCAGATACCGAATTTCGAGTAGTATGGCCATATTTAAACGGTATTATTTCAAAAGAATTATTATTTTCAAAATTAATTTTCTTTTTCAAAAAGCAAATTTTTGGACTTCGGCATCCTACGACCAGACTAGCGAAGGTTTCTTCTGGGGAACAGGAGAATCACTTCCACTGAGCTCCAGCTTTTGGGCCGACCAGGAACCGAACGATTACCTCATAGCCGGGAGAAATGCATGTGTCTTTGGCGCCAACCTGCAACTCTCGGACGAGGACTGCCGCAAACCAAATGGTTTCTCCTGTGAATTGCCGGAGTATTGCTACATTTGAATAATTTAATATTAAATTTCTCGTGATTAGTTTTGGTTATCATTACCTACCCATTGAAAATATCAAAAATTTAAGTGATGAAACAATTTGTAAAAATACTTAAAGGTTAAAGAAATAATAACGTCCTATATTCAAACTAACGGAATTATATTTTGTGCTTTTTTAAGTAGCCATCAATATAGTTACAACCGAAAATAATATGATAAAAAAAATCAAATGAAGAAACTGACTGTGATTTAAATTGAAAATGCGACAAAATATTTTTATCTTATTATGTGTATAATCTTTTTTCCATTGAAGGATAATCTACAATCTTATTTTAATATTTTAAAGCGTTTTAAAGTAAATTTAATGTGATATGATGATATATTTTTTTACCTTTCATATTTAAATGAAACTTCAGACGTTCTATTCTGTTTTCCATCCTCCCCCAAAGCTAAACGACTGTTAATATGCGTTATTAGCGGTCATTGCATTTTGGGACAGTTTCATATAACGTTACTGTTCATAAATAATTTTTCAAAGCCCAATTACAACTGCTGGCTGCGCGAATGAAAAACTCATGCGGGCCTTTTTCTCTTGTGGCGCGACGACATAAATCTCTGGCCGATGATTTCTCCCCCCGCTGATCAAACAAGAGACCCCTCGACCTGCAAGCCGTGGAGACCATTCAAATGATGCACTTTTGAATATATGTATTCCTCAATCACGGCCCTTTTTCTCACCGCCGAATTCTGCTTCCCCCGAAAATAGCATCGCATCGTTCCGCCAAATTAGCGCGCGACATTTTATTATCGGCGGAGCGCAGCTGCTCAGCTCTCGCATTCAATTAGCCGGTCACGCTGATTAGCCAGCTGCACTTCCAAAATCAAAACCAAAATCACGTAGACTCCTCCTTTTTTTTTAACTTTTTCAAATTTTACTTCACTTTAGTTAAGTTTTCACCAAAAAATCTATCGGTAGAAGAGTCGTTTCTAAGGTGCCTTTGAAAACGTAGAACCTTTGGAGAACCTTTGGAGAAGAGCACCAGGGAAGGGGAGGTGCCGCCTAGAGAGGCCGGGCCTCTGGTCCCCGGCCCCTCGCGCAACGCCCATCGCCGAGCGCTCATCGGGCCACCGCACCAGCAGGCAGCAGTCCGACACCGACAGGCTTCATGTTCGCTGGATATCCCTTTCAAGGTATTTTTTCCACGAAAGATTTTATTTTTTTTTCTTTAAAAAATATTGCAAAATTTTATATTTTTTTACGAATTATTTAATAATTTTCTTTTTAATTTTGATCAATATTAAAAAGCATTGTTTTCTAAATTCTGCATAGTAAAAATTTTGTTGCTATTTCAAATAAATCAAAATATGTGTGTGTTTTAAAGTGTTTTTTCCCTGAATTTTTAACAACAGTCTTAAGTAAATTTGCAGCGTTTAATAAATTAGCCAGCGGCTCTGTGCCGGCGCTCAGTTTTGCATAATTAATTGGTCGTTTCGTGTTATCGCCGTGCCTAACGAGCGTGACACATTCCCCTGAAATTAAGTAATAACAAAACAACAACAAGCATCGTCTCACGTTCCTCGAGGTTACGAAGACACCAAACGCCCAACAATTATCATCAAATAATCATTTTTCCACAAGGCGCTAAAACCGAGCGTTGAAATCTCCAAACGAAATAATCGGACGTTTCTCTTCATTTTTATACACAATTATATTTAACCTTTCGAATAATGTTCCTGACTGATGTAATATTATTTATAATTAAATATCATCAATCTATTTTAAGCCTTCTTAATCTTATCAGTTATTTTTTTATATCAATTTAATTTTGCCTCCAATTTTATTAAGCCCGTTTTCAATTTTCTTTTAAATCAATATTTACGTTTTAATAAATGAAGTTATTTTTTTTATAATTTAATTTTGCAACCAATTTTGTCAGTTTTTATTGAAAACACCCTCACTTCTTGTTGATGCACAAGATCATTTTTCTCTTTCCCTTTGATTTCCGACCGCCGCGCGCGTGCAGCTCGCTCCAAAGAATTACCACAAAAGTGTGTTGTGCCGTTCTCACTTCTCTCCTTCGATATACACGATGATACATAAGGCACACGTGTATTTACCGCATTCTCCATGCAATCTCCTCACGTGCGCCTCATTATTATTTTATATATTTTTTTTTCTCTCCGCATTATTTTATGAAATGATTTTTCTCACACGAGAGATGCTGGATGAGCTCATCAAGACCATTAAGAATTTAAAAAAGCACTCTCCTCTCACATACCCGCTCCCGTTAGCAAAAAAAAAAAAAAAAATGAGTTACCTAATTGAAAGCAGTGCTCTCTCACGTGGGGTGCGAGGGCCAAAGCGCGGAATTAATTTAATACATTGGGTGCCACGACGACGCCTTTTTTGGTCGCCTAAGAATCATGCAAGAGGTTTTAAAAGAAAGAAGGTGTCGACTGCTCTCTTTGCATTTGCATAATTATTGGACCTTTACCATTTTTCTGCCGCCGATTCGACGCGCCGATGAGTAATCGAATATTTTCTTACTCCCGATTGCAAAATTTGTATAAAAGAATATGGTGCACCTGCAAATTAATTTCAACACCTCAAGTCAAAGGTCAAACTTTCTTAAATTGATAAAAATTCAGACTTTCTTAGCAAAAAATAATTCAATTTATCTTTAAATAAACAAAATTAAATGTTTTCTTAAGTTTACAATCCGTGCAATATTTTATTATATACTACATATTTTATTTAATTATGCAATGCGAAATTTTGCAGGACTATTGGTTTATATTATATACAACTTTATAGAAAAAAATATAAGGCCTGAGTATTTAATTTATTAAAATTCTACATTTCTTCATTATTTATTTTGTTATATGTTATATTATTTTTTTGACTATATAATTGTTAATTTTAATTTAAATTAATACAGTTAAAATTTTGGTTCGTAACTGAAATAATGTAAACTTAATGTACAGCAATTTGCTAATGTTTGCAAATTTCATCAATTTTTTACCAACTTACAATACAAACGATTTCATCTATTAACAGTGAGTAAAACTAAAGAAAACATTTCTTGTATACAATCTGGTTCTTATATTTTATTTACTTATATAACAAAACTTTTATTATTATTTTTATAACAATCGCTTATTTTTTCACAATTTTTACCATTCGAAATCGGTTAAAAATTGATTGCCAAAATGAATTAACAATTAGTTCGATCAATCGTATTACACCTGTATGTATGTTTTAAGTTTTTTTAAGGGATAATTTTAAAGATGAATAATGAAAAAAGTGGCCCAATTTAAATTGGTTTGTCATTAAATGTAAAATTTTACTTTACAAGTCGGTGCAGGTCAGCAACAAAGGGCTGAAGTTTTCCAAAATTTCATTAAATTAGTGAAAAGAATGTGAATATTTGCAAGGATTTCACTTCCTTACTGCTAACAGCTAATTCAATTTCTCAATTGTTTTCCTATATTTTGGTTATTTTTATATATTTTTTATTTAAGAACAACAAAAATTAATTAAATCTAATTTTTGTAACACAATAAATATTTTTTCCCATTTTAGACAATAAAAATATTTTGTAATGACAATCTGAATAATTCTGATAAATCATAATATGATTTTGGATTGGTATGTTTTGATTGTGCAGGTCAGGGTCGGGTGAACCAGCTGGGCGGGGTGTTCATCAACGGGCGCCCGCTGCCGAACCACATTCGGCTGAAGATCGTGGAGCTGGCGGCGGCCGGGGTGCGTCCGTGCGTGATTTCGCGGCAACTGCGCGTTTCGCACGGCTGCGTGTCCAAGATCCTGAACCGCTACCAGGAGACGGGCTCGATCCGGCCGGGTGTCATCGGGGGCAGCAAGCCGCGCGTCGCCACCCCCGAGGTCGAGCGACGCATCGACCAGTACAAGCGCGACGCCCCGGGCATCTTCTCCTGGGAGATCAGGGAGCGCCTCATCAAGGTGAGTGTCCCACCGACCTTTGTCTCCCATGACGAATTGACGCGTCAACGCGCAGGACGACGCCGAACTCGGACACCGGCAGGACGGCGTCTGTGACAGGGTGGGCGCCCCTTCCGTCTCCTCCATCAGCCGGGTCCTGCGAGGACGAGCCAGTGGCGCCACCAGGCCTGATGACGACCCCAAGAAGGACCACAGCATCGACGGAATCCTCGGAGGTAAGTCAGTCCCTCAAGGGATACTTTTCTAAAGTAGGCAACCGGCTCGCCACAATTGTCCAGCACATTGCATAAAACAAATAAAAGAAAGTTAAACAACACTTGATTTCTTGAAATATTTCAACAGGGCTTTGACCCTGTTAAAAAGAAAAAAAGCATGGAAAAAGCGCGACTCCGAAAAGCGACTTCTTGTGGTTTGCTGGGAGACTTTAAAACCTAGGACTTCTTGTGCCCATGCTAAATATTAAGGAGGACTAATTTGTGAAAAAATGAAATTGTGAATATTTAAACATAAATTGAAATTTATTTGGCATGGGCACAAGAAACCCTTTAGTTTTTAAAGTATCAAGAAACAGCAGTCATTTTTCCCTTCTTTTCTTCATCATTTTCAACGAGGTTAAGCCTGGTTTAAAGTAATTGAATCGTAAATAATGGTGAACCAAGCTTTTCCTCGCAGAGAAAGTTGCTTTTTGTAAACCAAAAAAACATAAATACTTGTATTAGTCAGGGAGATTGGCGGAGATTATGAAATAGAACTGAAGTTATTATTCTACAAATTAGTCGGGCTTTATTTTAGAAGATCAAAACTATTTTTTTTTTACGATGAAAAGTCTCTGGCTCATATTTCATTATGATTCTTCCATTGAAAGTCACTTTCTTCCACAAACTAATATTACATCTTTATTAAATTTTAACATCAGTGATCCCATCTTAAAATTATTACTTAAACAGTCATGATTGGTCATGAAATTAAAATAAGTTACGAAGGAAAGCTTATAAGACCTGAATTGAGTTGAGGTTTTAATACACTTTGTAAACTTCATTTAAGGTAGCATCGATTTAAAGTTTTCCTATAGAACCATAAACAATAAATTAATTGATTTTATTACAATAGTGGCCATAAATAATAGTTCGTTCAGTTCGTTCTGATCAAGCAATCTCTCCACAGGGGCATTATAAACTCTACCAATTTAATAAAAAAATTTCCCTTTTTATTCACTTTATTAAAAAACAGTCGAAACGAAATAAGGTTTGTTAACGAGTGAAACGTTTTTACACGTTTTTAATTGTTCAATATCATATATTATATAAAATTTAATGCTATATTATCCAAAGATAGGAAGTTTTTGCTGAAAAAAACCAATAAATCAGTGAGTATAGTTTTTTTTTTTTTAATTTCCTTCAGTTAAAAAATTATTATTTATTCATGGTTTCATCATTATTGACACAACAGAACAATGAAGATTTAATTGTGTTTGCTGGACATAGAAGTGGTACATGCACCAAATAAAGGGTTTTTAATTTTCAATTTCACAACTTAATGCATTTGAAATGGATTTGAAAGCTCAAAATAAGGTATTAAATATGAATCGCGAGTCTCCAATTTAATAATGAAAGAAAAAAGTTTAATGAACCCTCTCATCAAAAATGTGAATCGGTTTGGTTTTGTGTTACATAAATCTTTCAGTCATCTGCATTAATGGGTTTATATTCTAATTCATTTCTTTCCTCCTCGTATTCATTTTTAAGTCGATCGTCTTGATTTGATGCAAATAGAATTGTAACAATCTGGGGGTCAACCCTTTTTCCTTTTGTTTTCGTGGCGGCCTCTATTTCACGCCTGCCAAGTCGCCGCCGCCGCGTGTGGCCCTGGCTCGTTTTCTAATTACTCGCATCAAAGTGATGCCACTTTGATCATAATTGAAACGCCCGCGGCCACTTGCTCTGTCGAGAATCAAAATCCTTGCTCATCTCACCAAGTATATGCGAGATTAAGAATAATAAAAGTCGCTCAGAACTCGCAGTGTTTAGAATAAGTGACGCGCGCGTGTTTACTTAAAACTTATCTGCCGCTTTTAATCTGGGCGCGCGGTGTCCAGCACCTGTCTGTCATTCTACGCGTTACGCGATCGCTTTAATCCGCATTCGCCATGCCAAGCGAGGTGCGAATCGAACCCTCAAAGGCGTCAAAGGCCCCGCCGCGCTCCATTCCTCTCTTCCGCCCACAGCTCCTTTTTTGTGCTCTTATTCAGCCGCTTAACGAAAAAGAGGATGAAGTTAAGCGCACGATAAATTGCTCGTAAATAAAACCGACACTGAATTATCACCACAAAATTTTATTACTTTTTCATCTATTCAGCCCGTATAATAGCTATATTGGTTTCAAAGATCTGTCAAAAAAATAATTGCAATAAAAGGGTATAATTTTTTCAGACTTAAAATGTAATTAGTACTTATCGAGGAATGAATTTTATTATTTATTACTAATATTGTGTGCCTTAAAATTAACTTATAGAAGATTTATATATTTTTATAAATAAATAAATAAATAAAAATTCTGATTTTTTATTAAGATTAGTGCTTAATTTTATAATAAAAAAGTCAACAAACTTAATAAAATTAATAATAGATAATTATGGAAAAAGTCAATCAAAATTTATGATTCTCTGGGGAATTCTATTTGTTTTGGTTGAGTCAGCTTTGAATTTTAATGGTCAGTAAAATCTATTGTTAAATTATTTTAAAACGAAATTTTTGGTCTGAAAGTGAATTGTGAGAGTGAGAAAAATTCCAACTATTTTGATCAACGGAGCTAAAAAAATGTTGAATTGTGGTTTCGTTGTATGCTCTGTTGCGGCCGAACTGCAAAGCAATTGTGTCGCTCCATTAGGCGCTTTGAGCGACAGGAAAACAGCAACAAGCATGCTGGATATTTTCTCAACGTGAGAGTCAAGAGCTGGCAAAGGGGATGTCCCGGCTTGGGCAGCAGACAAAGGGGCGCCCCACACGCAGCCGAGCGGCAACAATGCTCGCAACAATGGGCCGGCAGTCAATCGGCGGTCGCATTGCTGGCGTGCCTCGGGACAAAAGGCGGCGGCCGTTCAAAGGCACCGCCAAAGGCAGCGCCCGCGGGTGGTCCGACGTCGACGACAGCCACTGGCCCACGGCCGCCGGACGGGGACCCCCCGCGCCCAACTTTAAGCCGCGCGTGATTTACGACGCGCTAAACTCGTCTTAAATCACAGCACACGACTCCTCACTTTGTAATCCGCTGGACAATGATGAATCGAGAAGTGCTGGAATTAATGCAATTTATTCAGATTCAAGTCGGTGATAAATTTCACAGCAATTTGTTTCCACTTTGGAACTTGCTTTACAATCAACGTTTAAAAGTCCATTAGCCACAAAAGTTCTATTCAATAGTTTTAATAAAAAAGTTTCTCATTTGAAATTATTTTATTTTCTTATGGGCCCTAATATTATTGAAGATAAAACTTTTTTAATTAAAAAAAAAAACGGTTTATATCTGATATCAATTTCTATAGGTATTAATAACTTTGCAATTAAATGTAGCTCTATCTATACATATATTTTTTAACACCTATATATTTAAAAAATTTTAACAGTTTGTAAACGGATGTAAAATAACTTAAATAATATTATTTTTAGACTTTTTGACTTGATGTATATTATGCAATTAAATACTATGTCCTAAAAAACCGGATTGCTGTTTAAAAATCTTAATTTTTAATAAATTTGAATCAAAAACACTTTTCTCAACATAAAATTATCCAATTTTTTGGAGGCCTGAAAATTTATTAATATTTTTCTACGTTTTTATACCTGTAAATTGTATAAGTATTTTTTTGTTTTCTCATCTGACTCCGAAGGTCGGGCTTTTGGCGGAGGCTCAGATTCGGACACGGAGAGTGAGCCTGGAATTCAACTGAAGCGAAAGACCCGTCGCAGTCGCACCACCTTCTCAGCAGAGCAACTCGAAGCTCTCGAAAGGTCCTTTGAACGAACGCAGTACCCTGACGTGTACACCAGGGAAGAACTGGCGCAGCGCACGCGATTGACAGAAGCACGAGTGCAGGTATGGTTCTCGAACCGACGAGCTCGGTGGCGCAAACAGGCTGGACCGGCAGGACATCACCATCATCAGGCACCCTTCAGCCCGTTGCCCCTAGGTGCGTACGCGTCTCACCACCATCAGTATTCAGCAGTTGAAAACACAACAGCCCTTGGTAAGATTACTATTTTTTCTTCATAAATTTGGAAATTCAAACAAAAATGAATAATTATAATCCGGAAAATTAATAGACTGGTCAATGGGACATTTTTGGTCATTTTATATTTTGCCATATATTTTGTATTTATTTATAAATTTTTTTATTTTGGTGAGGCCAAGACAAAGTGTCTGTAATGTTTTTAATTTAATTTTTGTTTTTAAATTTTCTCTTTTAATATTGATCATTCTACTATAGAATCTTCCGGAATCTTCCCAATAAAAAGTTGAACTCTTTAAGCTAAACTTATAATTTGATCTTGTTTTTTCTTTTTAATTGCTTAATAAATTCAAGGTATTTAATATCAATGATTAATTTTAGCTGGTTCCTCAGCGCCATGGCTACTCCCATCTCAGACTTCAACGTCGGCACCCTTTGGCGGTGCTAATTACCCTTCAGATGGCTCAAAAGCGTCGTGTTTAGTGGCCGCTGCAGCAGCCGCCGCGAGTTCGGGAGGCGCTGACTACCTACCGACGGCGCCACCAGACGGTGCGGCGCCGGCTGGATGGCCGGGTTCCAACCCTGAGCAGCAGTGGCCGGCGTACGAAAATTACAGCACAGGGTGAGTTTATATTTGATGGTAAATCGGATAAATCATTAGAAGAATAGAAAATAAAATTTACACCCTTTTAAATTATTAATTATAAATATAAAATTTCTAATATTTTGTTAATTAAATATAAATATTTCTTTAATTTCAAAAATTTATATTGATTTATATCAAAATTTTTATTTGTAAAAGTTTTAGCAAATTTAGCAAAATGAGATTTTTAATAATAAAATAAAGTTTGTAGAGTGCAAACGTAATGTTTTTTAATAAAAATAAAAAGGTTTAGTATTTTAATTACATGGTAACAAAGATGTTTTACATGTAAATTTCTATCTAATGGAAATTAAATTCAATGTTCTTAAATTTCTAGATTAAAATTGGGCAAGAGTGCAAGAGTGAGAGTCAACAAAAATTTTAATTTAACATATAAAATTTTAATTAAAAACTGAGAGTTGACGGACGTTTCTGGGCTTAAAGTTTCAGCGTTGTTCGCGCACCATCTGCAGTTGGGTGCTGATCAATAAGTTTCTCACTTGCTCTGTCGAGTGGCGCCGGTCGGCGACTCACTCAATTGGCGCGCTCACGAATGCAAATTAAAAGCCCTTGAGGCAGCTTTTCGCTCTTTCTGTGCTCGGCAGCACGCAGGGAATAAGGACGGGTCGTGTTTAATTAGCTGCTGCCGGAGACGAGGTTGGAGCAAATTTTCCACTTGAGCTCATTTTGCGGAATCGTAATTTAATTGGTTTCCTCCACGTGGTGTCATTATACTAGGCCGACAATGAAGAGCGTCATCATGACTTCCTCCAGATAAATTCTGGTGATTTTTTTTTTTATTTTTTATTGGGGATTAAATTAAAAAAAAAAAAAAAAATAGAAAACCAATAAATAAACTTTACAAATGAAAAAAAAAACTGTATTTCTTCAGTTTTTAATTGAATTAGCTCCATCATTGAAGCAGCTCTTTTGAAAGATATAAATGAACCAATTTTTCTAGTTCCTTTTCTTTATCCCTTTTCCGTGTTTTCTCTTTTTTAAAACTCCATGTCGTTCAATTGAAACGAACTGTCGGAATGCAACGCGTGCTCTCTTTCTTTTCCACTCACTGAACTCGAAGCGAGAGCGAGGACGTGACCCGAGTGGCAAACTTTTCTCTGTCGGTATTCAAACGCACATGTTGCAAAAATGTGTTGGTGCAGCCAGCAGTTGGAAAAGCACCATACGGCGCTCCAGTCAATGTTTTGCACGATCTGCAAATGGGCCGTTCAGCTCTTATAACTGATTGAAATAACAATCAAAAGTAAAATAGCAAAATAATGATACTTTCATATTAACAATTGAATCGTATTAAAAATTAATACCTGATTTATTTTAGCGCAATCTAAAATTCTAACATCCAAATTTTAAAATTTCATTGTTATTTTAATCGTTATATTAGATTACCATAATTTTTAAATTTTGTAATTTAACGTTAAAAAAAATAATTAATTAGAATTATAATTTAATATTCACCAATATATCACAAGGCAGGGAAAGGGAAATTTTATTGGTGCTTGATTGATGCATATTGAAAATTACAACAATTTTAATTAATACAATAAATCGTTTTTGCTTTATTGAATTTCATTTCATTTTTACGCACGTTGCAAATTTTAAAAATTAAAATACAAAACGGAAAAATGCTGAAAATTTTTTGATGAAAGATATAAAATATGTTGTAATTTTAAGATAAGAAAACAGCATTCTTATAAAAAATAATTGAATGTTATTTGATTTTAGGAGCACATCGTCCGAATCAAACTTTCTGGCCTCAGCTTCGACCTACGCAGGCGGAGGCCACGCGGGCTTTGCCGGCGGCCAGTACGTGTCACGCTCATTCAAGCCCTTCTGATGACGGACGATCGCCCACTAATTGGATGACGCACATCGGGGCCGCGGGGCCGCTACTCGAACCGTCCCTGCGGACGAACTGCGAAGTAGGCAACCGGCTCGTCACTCTCGCCATGCACGGCTGCATAACTCGCACGGCGTGTTGTATAAAAAAATTGAAATCCGTCACCTGCACTTGTAAAAATGAATGAATGTGAGAGGTGAAAATAAAACGGTGTATATTTATTTTAAAAAAGTGTCGGATTTTTTTTTTATAAAAAAGGAAAATCTTCCGGATGAAGAAATACAGGAATGGGCGATGCGTGCGCCAGCTATAGAGTGAGGGGCAGCGAGCGACAGCTGCATTGCGGACCTCGTTTCAATTTGTGCAAAATTACGCCTCGAGTTCCGAATTCCACAGTTTAACGATGCGATTAGGCGCACAAGTGGCTTTAATTTAGCCTAAATTTGCCCACAATTTACAATTTTAAGTAAATGAATCGCATTAAAGCGGGATTCTTTATGGATTGAATTTCAAAAGTTAAATTAATTTTATCAATTTAGTTTGATTTAAGTGACTCTAATAATATTTTTGTACTTTTTTTATATTTATTTTGCTTTTATTTCCCTCTTGACTGCGCTCACTGCTGACAATAATAGTTTGTTTTATTCAAAAATGAAAATCTAATAACAGAGTTTGAATTTAGTCGTTAAAATCAATTTTTTAATAAAAGGTACCGGTCATTTTTTAGAATTTTAATTTTACAATAAAATTTAATAATAATACTGGACTCGTTTAATCATAATTTTCAAGCTTAAGAAAATAATTTAATTCCTACCAAAAGATATTTACATATAAATAATTTTCAATGTAAATATAATTTTGATAGAATTTATGGATAGTTTCTAAGTTATGTTTGTTGTTTCCTTGAGGAAATAATGGAATGCAAATACATTATTCAAGCAGAGAGTGCACATGGCATTTCACTTTGATTTATTATTCAGTTCACCTTCTACCAACTCAATACAACTGAAAGGAAATTCCAGCTAACAAAGCTATTACGGCGTGCACGTCGGTGCGGGGAGCAGTTCCGGGAACAAAGCGGAGCAATCGCTTAACTTTAACCGCTCTCTAGCTGGTAATGCATGTTTTGGCAAAAAGGGGCACGTTTAATTTTTCCAGCAGCACATTGAACGAGATGATCTGCCACGCTTGTGTCAGCACAAATTGGCAATGTGTGGGCGCCGACGAACGTGATTGATGACCCGTTTTGGAGCGCGATGACATCACTGAAAAATATTTAATGCGTTTTTTATCGCGGCCGACACCAAGCGATGGAATGGAAAAAAATCTTGATTAAAAGAAGCCACTTTGAATAAAGAAAAAATATGGAACGCAGTCAAACTCTTAGAATAAAATAGCTGCAAATAAAATTTCAGCATTTTTTTTTCAGAAAAAATATTCCTCAATTTGTTCAAGTATTTAATAACATATTCTTATCCTATATTCTGATTTTTTTAGTTTTGTTTTTTCTTCCGTAAAATTCAGTTTGCTTATTAATTTAAAAAAATGATTTTTTTTATATTAAATGGGGTGCTTATTAATTGCCTTTGAACATCAAAATAATTAACCGAAATATCTTTCAAAGGCAGATCACATAATGCTAGTAATTTATTTTAATTGGCCTTAAAAATCTATGAACTTGAAAATTGATATGAAATCCACAAATAATAATTTAAAAAATTCTAAAATGATTATAATATTTAATTCTGCAATCAAAATTTAGATTTCTGCTAATTTGATGGGGACTATTTATATAGGTGTGTGAGATGCAATCTTTTAAAATGTGAAGAGTAGGATAAAATTGATAAAATATTCTAATTTCACTTGTGGAAGGTTTGATTTCAATGAGTTTCTGTTAATAAAAACGATAAAAACTGAGGGAATTTACAAATAAATAAATCGTTTCTATAGCCATTTCAATCAATCAAAAATATTAAAAAATAACATAAATAAACAAGCTCACAGAACAATTTTGTTCAAAAATTTTGGGCGATTTGGGAACAATGTCGCCATTCCATTTCACAGTGGAACAATTTCATTGTGAGCCCAAACGACCCAGACCAAGTTTGCCAGCATCTTACCGAGTGGAATTCGCCGCAATTTGGGCGAACGAAGGAGTTGCGAGAGATAACAAGCAAGGGTCGGTGGCACACATGTGGCTGGAAACGTGTGTCGCAGCGAGACGCAATTACGCGGCCAAGTGGGTTTGCAGCCCCTCGGCGCGCGCTCGGACGCACCCCGAGATCGAGGGACGGGAGCGATAAATCTTGGGGCGGCTAACAGGTCCGAACCTGTTGGCGGCGGCGCGCGGGGGCGGCGCTGGCGGGGTAGCGACACGCGCCTACAAAAGGAGCCGCCGCCGAGTGAAGCCGCAATCAAGCGACGAACTTGACTCATGGCGCACACGGCACCCCTGCTCATCGCTCTGCTGGTCGCCCTTGCCACCTCGCAGGCGCAGGTAAGAACCACTTTTTTGAAAATTTCCTTGCCTTTAGAAAAAATGGTCCCAATTTAGAAGACAAAAAACAAAGTCCCGAAAAATAATTATTATATAAGCCCATAATAAAAAAATTCAAGTTGATTTTAACGAAATAAAATAATGATTTTTTTTTTTAGCCAAAATTTCACAGATATTTACATTTTCATAAATTTCTTAAATATCCTCAAACGAAGAAGGTTTAAAATTGGTACCCTTTCGGATTTGTATTTCATTTAGCGTTATTAGAGATATTCGCGATAATCTCAAATCTCGATTTTGCTGTAAAAATTATTACGTACTATTTCAGAACTATAAAAAAATATATCTTAGCACCACTTTTTAATTGAACTCCATTATAAAATTTTAAATAAATTAAAGAAATATTATTATCTTGATGTTTATTTTTCTCCACTGATTACAATACATTTGTTCACATTCAATATTCAATTGTTGGAAACAATTTATTTAAATAAAGCAATTGTTGGACAAAAAGGCACCACCATTAGCAAGAATTTTGCTACAACCTCAGAGATAAAAAAGACCCCATCTGCCGCAGAGAGTCCTGGTTGACTAAGATTTTGTTCTTGTGAAAGAAATAAAAAATATCTAAAAAAAAATTAGCATTTTAAAAACAAACATTTGTTAATAATTGTATTAAAATTTAAATTTGTTCAATTTATTACTAAAATTTAAAATTTTATAATTAGAATTTGTAAATTTTTTCATGAGAATTGATTCAGTTTGATATAGTTATAATAATTTTCATAATAAAAATTTACTTATTATTGACGTGATATGTGATTAGTCAAATTTTGCAATGACTCTCCAGGGGATGCGGCTTGGGCTTGGGGCCGATCATTAAGGGCCGCTTGTTGGCCTTTGTCGCTTCTTTCACCCGCTCGCCTACTGAACGCCGCGGGCAACGTTGGTGCAGAGCAAATAAAATGCCACTGCCGAAGTTGCGCCAAAAAGGCCCGCGGCCACCAAACATAATCGCATAGAGGGCAAAGTTCGGTTTTTTTCTTATTTAAAGCGGAAGTCTCGTCCCGTGGTGCAAATTTCCGTACTTTTCCAGGCTTTTGCTTTTAAATACAAAATTCCTTTGTTGTTCAAGGGTTTGATATAGAGGACTGCTTACGTGCCAATTAACTTCCAGTTGGATGCCTCTGTGGAATTAATTTAGTCATTCGGGACTTAATTACAATTCGGTCTGACAGTAAAATGCACAGGAAAGTTTAGTTTAAATTGGATTCCACCAACCTTCCTCTCGTCCGTCTCCCTCTTTTGTTTTTACAGTGTGATGTACATAGCAACCAACCATATACTATATGCATCATTTGCATCTTTTTATCTTCGTGCGGCAAGCGAGATGAAAAAGAGCTTTTAATTCTTTTTAGCGTGCAGATTCATATCAAAGCGAAAAAAAGTAATTTCGCCAGACAGTTATCATAGTAATTGTCCTCTCCTGTCTCTTTTTCTGCTCGAAATTCTCTTTTTCATTTGATTTACGTCAAATTTAATTAAACTGCTTGGGGGGCTCCTACGTATATAGAACGGCAGGAAGGAGGAGCTCCACAGAGAATTCGGCTCGAGTGGCACTTGCTTTATTGCCTCGTTCTGTGCCCGACTCTTATTATATGAGAAACCGATCAGAAAAGGAGAATTGCACAATCTCGTTCTCGGATTTATTGAGACAGATTCAATATGTGGAAAGAAAACCCTTTACATTTAATGGAAAAGTTTCGGTCTAACGGAACATTTATTTTAGACCCTTGAAAACCGTTTTCTTTGCTGCTTTGAAGATTTACTTTTTTGGTAGAAAAACATTAGAAATATTCAATTATCTTTTAAAGATTGATTTTAGATTTTTTAAATGTTTTATAAAACTAAAATTTCATGATTATTTTCTAAACATTTTGCTAAAAAAATGTTGAAGTTATTTCCCCACATTTTCTAAGATTCGCTAATTATTGTAATCTCCACAGCGGGAAAAGAATAGGTTGCATAAGCCAATTAACTTTATTAACAACTTATGGTGTAACCATACTACTGGCTTAATTAATTAATTAAAAAAAGTGAGGTATTATAATCAGAAAAAATAATTAGTTTAATTTTTTAATTAATATATTACTATTTATTTTTCTTGCGAATTGAAAGAAGATTATTTCAAGCTGAAAAAAATTGGAAGAATCGGTTTAGGTTGATATAAGTATTAAATTAATGACAAATTTGAAGTACATCATTAGGTTTTTGGGTCAGGATGGAACAAATTTGGGATCAGAAACTCACATCATTGACGCCATCAGCTCCACTCGATTTGGCCCCGGATCGATTTTTATATTTCTCTTCCCATTTTTTGCACGCGCGTCAACAAGAAAGGCGTCCTTGCCGAGAAGTGCCATCGGGCGGAAATTTCAATAAAAATCTGGGCTATAAAAGCGATCGAGTGTCAGCCAGTGCCGAGGAAGCCGCTTCAATTAAGGACCTTCTCCGGGAAAGTCTTTTCTGCAGCAGCGCGTCGTTCTGCGCGCAATTTTTGCCGCTCCAGTCGTCCGAAGGATACATTCATCACAAAAAAGGGATATACTATACACACGAGCTTGCTCGCTGATGGTCTTTTGTTGGTGGCTGAATGTAATATAAAAATCGCAGCATCGCACACAAAAGAGGAGGTGCTGCTGCTGGGATAACAAACTGAGCGAGAGACATAAAAAACGAGGCATGTGATATGCAAATTCATGAACGGAAAAATCTTTATTAGCTCAAAAACGTCACTTCAGCAGAAAAAAAATGAATAAACAAAAACAACAGTTTGCGGAAAAAAGTTATCACATTCTAAAAGATGTTCAGAAATAGGAAATAATAATTTAATTATTGATGGTATTGTTAATTTTTTGTCATCTTTTAAACTATTTATGTTGAATGAAATATCGATAAAAAATTGGATTATGCTCTGTATGCTTATCGTGTTTATTGGTGCTTATAAAGATTTTATATAATTATGCAATAGATTTAACACCGTATTTAAAGTTCCAATTATGTGCTCCTTTCTCTTCTTGCACAAAATTATTTATAATTGAACAACACTATTAGATAATGTTTATAAAAATTCAAGACATTGACGACTAAGAATCTAAAAAATAAAATTGCAAAAATTTAATATTGTGCAGAATTAACGTTTTTTAATTTTTAGTATTGACGATATCTTTGCACAAATCAATAAATCATTTGAACATATTAAGTGTTGTAGGACACATTAGTGTCACTGTATTTAATATTTTATCATTTTTTTCGCAGGGCCAGGATGACGACTTCTTAGAGGACAAGCGCGGAATCTCAGCGTTGGCGCGCAACGGCGATCTACCTGGAACTGTGTCGTACGAGCTAAAGCGTTTCGCGCACCCCCTAACATGGCGTAAACTGGAAGACGAAAAGCGGGTGGCCCACCCGATGTCCTACCAGAAGCCCAAGGAAGAGCAGGAGAAACGCTTTTCGCACCCCGTCGCCGAGCAGTGGGCTTACGCACGCGACGCTGAACTGGAGGCCGAGCGTCAACTCTTGGCCGAACTTCTGCTGAACGACGCTTTGGAGAAGCGCATGGGCGTGGCCTCTTTGGCGCGCAACAACGAGTTGCCCGGCAAACGCAACATCGCCGCCATGGCGCGCGACGGCTACCTGACGCAGCACACGCGGCAGCCGCAGGACGACAACGAGGACGAGAACGAACTGGAGGAGGTGGAGGAGAAACGCAACGTCGCCGCGCTGGCGCGAAACTTCCAGATGCCCGCCGGCGGCAAACGCAACTTGGCGTCGCGCGCACGCTCCATGTCGCGCTACGCAGCCGTCAAGCGAAACATCGCGACGCTTCTGCGCAGTCGCGTTGCCGGCAAACGTCAACCGTTTGCGTACGCACGTCTTTCCGGCGTTAGGGACGACGAGGACGAGGACGACGATGAGATTGAGAAACGCAACATCCAGGCGTTGCTACGCACCATGCGTCCGCCGGGTAACGCGCGAAACCGCTTCGCACGCAGCTTTCCCCCGATGATGGCCGCCCTCTTCACCAGGGGTGCGAAACCCACCTGACCTTTATCGGTGTCTCTCACTGTTCTCAGGGGGAAATTAATTAAGCAATTAAGACCCCAAATTAAAACTTAAAAAAATATATATAATTATATAATATAAATTGATTTAAATTCATTCATTGAAGTATTTTTAAAATTTTTGAAACTTTTCTTAAACGTGCTGGATTAATCTAAAATTAAGTTAAAATGTTCTCAAAAATAAATTTAATTCACTTGTGGGAACAATGATCTACAATTATTTTATGTTCTATTGATTCTGAGAACAATAGTGTAGCTAGCCTTATTTAGAAATTGAAGTCCTCCTTAGTTAGGTCCATAGCTAGCCCTGTAACTTTGAGAAAAACCAAACACGAACCTCTTGCTTATAGCGGCTTGTAGCTTAAACTGCTTTTAATTTAAATGTTTATTTTTAAATCACTCTCTTCTTCACCTCTTTCCTTGACAAAAACGTTCTTTCTCTGCCTGCAAATTTTCAGGCCAGAAAGACGAGAGTAAACGACACTTAGGCTCAGTGCTCGGTGGTCGCCGTAAGCGGTCAGCTCTGCACGACCCTCTTGAGTCGATCGGCGGCCCATTCGTCGAGTACCCAGCCTCTTTGAGCACCGAGTACGACTATGAAGAGGCCAGCGCGCCGATGCACGAGGAAAAACGCTTCTTAGGTGAGAAATATTAATTTATGTTTTTTCCTGTAGCTTTCTAGGAAGCCAAGAAAAAGAGCTTCGATCAAGCCCTGAGATGGGGGATGCAGCGCAAGGGTGAGTTATCACGCATGCAAAGAAACGAGGAAACGCTTTCTAAAATTAAACAAAACGGATAAGGTGAATTGCAGGAATGAAGGTTTAAAGAAAAAAAGCGGCTTAAAAACCTTTAAAAGCAAAATATGAAGACAGCTGAAGAAAAACTTGCAAAGAATGAGTTCTTTAATTTAAAAATGCTAATAGTTTAATAATGCACTTAAAATTGTTTATGTCAATTTAGCCCTTTATTCTAATTTCCTTTTTTCCTTCTTAGGAGCTGAAGTGGTTGAAGATCAAGCGTCGCCGCCGATGCAGAAGCGCAACATCGCGTCCATAGCTCGTCACGGATGGCTCCGCTACTAGCCGCGACCCCTTTACCTTCCCTCCGATTCTGATTTTTTATCTGTTTCTCTTCCGACCCTCGTTCCTCCACCCCTCTTGCAACCGACCGAGCCTCTGGAGGCCGCACGCAGGGCCCTCCGAGGCGTTCAGGGGCTCGGTCGGCGGGTGGGTTGGCGCTGGGTCTGACTGACTCTAACGAGAGCGACGACGCTGCTGATTCAGGGCGCATCCCGCACATGGGCAGGACGACGAGCGGCAGGTCGTCGTCTGGCAACGCACAGTCGCGCCGCCGTCCCAGGCAGGCCTGAGCACCACCAAGCAAGTCGACGCACTCGAGAAGACAATACGCTCGCAACAATGACAATAAACAGAAAGATGAGATGAGCAAACAAGCGCAACCCGCGCGGCCTAACGGAGCATGTCGACAATAAATTTAAAAAATAAAACCAAACAAGCGTTTATCTTTAACTTGACATCTGTGCTTTGATTGATTTTACCATCCCGTTCCAATAAATAACGTGATAGAAAAGTGAAAATTTCAAAATAATTAGGTTCCTCAGGCTCAAATTTTTTCACTACTTTTTTGGTGAGCGCCTGCAAAATTCCAAGTTATGCAACCGGCTTGACTTCACAGAAGGAGGCCTCACGAATTTTTATTGCTTTATTCAAGATAGAAAACTTCAATAATATCACTACAAAGATTAGTCTTTTAATTTATTATTATAGTAATTTGAATTAAAATGGATTACTCTTATGCCTAAAAGAAATGTAGCAGGAAAGAATAAGCAGGAATTTAATTTAATATAACGGCATTTTTTCTTTTTTGGTTTAAGAAACTTGTCTTATTTTTAGTCAGTTGCGTTACAAATTTTCCTATTTTCCATTGAAAAAGGCGGAGAGAAGGATAAACAAGAAGTGAAGATCATTACCACCAGAAAGAGCTGACGGTTGGCGTATTCCAAAATAATTATTTGTTGCTAGGAAACCATGTATTTTCAGCACAAAAGAATAGAAAAGACGAAAAGAGGGTACTTAGTTTGTTGAAATATTCATAAATTACATATATTTTAACGCACCGTTGGTGGTATTTTATTTTAAAAGATTTTTCGTTTTCAAAACTCTGAAGACAAAAATGGCGCCAGGGCATTTATATTTTTAGTTCAGTCATTGGCGATGCCAGTGGAGGAAGCGCTGAACTGCACAAGTCCAGCGTTGCTCCTCAATCACACATTCCTGTCGTCTTTCCATATTTGGTATAAATTCACGATCCAAGTGGTGCAACTGCCGCAATTCCTCCTTGCTCGACCAAATTCCTGCCCAAGCATATTCAGAGATTTTCAAAAACTGTGTTCAATATTTTATATTTTCTAAAAAAAAAACCAGTCCCAAATAAATGAATTTATAAAGATAAACCACGTTTGACAGTAAAGTTTTCCACACAAGTTATAAATAAAACTTAAATTTCTTTTCAACACCGCAGATAAAAATAAAATAGTGACAAACCTGCGGCAAGTCCCGCCATGAATGCAGCGCCGAGGGCCGAGTGGTCACAAGTGGTGGCTCGTCTGACGCGGGCACCCGTCACGTCAGCCAACATTTGTGCAAGGAAGTCATTTTTTGCCACACCACCGTCAATAGCAAGCACTTGGCCTGCAGAGGAACCCAATTCTTCACGCATCAGTCTCATGAGCTGCGAGCCTCGGAAGCCAATGCTCTCGAGCAGAGCTCGTACTAGGTGTGGACGCTGGGTTGATGTGGTGATGCCAATAAATCCAGCCGACGCCTCCGAATCATTTATTGGTGCCTGGAATTCCAAATTTTTGTTTTTAATGTGGTTTTCTTCTTTATAAAATATAATTTATATAAGTAGACAACATGGCTAAAGAAAGAAAGAAAGATTAAAACAATTGATCCTTCTTAACTTATTTATTAAAATTAAAACTAATTGAAAATGTAACATTTATTTAAAAAAAAAAATTTAATTTACCTGAAGGCCTGAAAAGGCTGGTACAAAATATACGCCCCCAGAACTGGCTACTGAACTGGCCAGGGCTGAAGTCTCATCTGCACTTTTAATGAGTTCTGTTAAAAATTTAATTATTCATGATGTGTTATTAAAAATATTATTAAAAAAAAACAAACCAGACTTCAGAGCCCAGTTGATAATAGTTCCCGTATCATTAGAGGCCCCTTCAGCAAGGTAAGCCAGGTCATCACCTACTTTCCAGCCAACCAAAGGATACATCCCTGAAAGTATCTTTGATAGTTAATATATTCAGCAGAGCATGCGCTTCAGCTACCTTGAGTGGTGCCAATTGGCATATTGCCTGTGTTTACATTGAGGAAGGAGCCAGTGCCCATGGTCAGCTTGACGTCACCTTCGTCAAAACAGCACGAACCAAACATCGAGGCACTCTGGTCAGCCAACTATAAAAATTTATATTTTATTTCAATATTTGGTTGATTTGTGGCCACCTACTGAGCTGCAGATGGGAAACGAGGCGCCCCAAATGTGCGGCGCCACCATAGCTAAACAGGGGCCAGCGGATTCGCCAACAGGAGGGAAGATTGAGGCTGGAAGGCGGAAGATGGTGCGCGCCCAACCAGCCCATTGCATGGTGAAGGGGTCGAAAAGACCAGTGGCGGCTGCTGAGGAGGGGTCCGTGTGATAGGTGCGACCTCCAGAAAGCCGCCAGACTAAGTAGGTGTCGAAAGTGCCAAACATTACTTCGTTTCGTGCCACAGCTTCTTTCAAACCAGGTACATTTTCCAGAACCCACAATAGACGCAGAGTAACCTAATAGCAGGAGTTTTAAAATTGGCTCTAGATATTGACCCTCGGTATCCAAAAGGTTTAGATTTATTTGTAACACTACATGCAGTTTAATTATTCACATAACATTTTTTAAATATTCTCTTTATATTTTTTTTCATCCATAAAATTTAATAATTGAATTGAAGGGAAATTATTTATTATAAAAAAGTAGCATAGTTTGTGATGGTTAAAAAATTGTCATTTCAAAATCAGCAAAGTATCTCTACAAAATATTTTTACACAAAACACACAAATTTGAATCTCACCTGTGTATTCATGAGTTTGAGGGTGCTTCCTGCTTTAAATCTCCTTTTTCGAGTAAACCAATAAACCACCCTGGACGCTCCTCTCAGTGCCTAAATAAGTACAATTCGATCAAATTAATTAGGCTTATTGTGAATAAGTCTAATCACCATTATTGAAAGACTGCTGTCCCATTGCTGGACAAGTCGTTCGGCGCGCACATCCTGCCAGGTGATAAGGTTGTGGTAGTGCATGCCAGTGACCTTGCTCCAGGTAACAAAGGTGCTGCGCTGTGTCGAAATGCCCATGCAGGTAACATCATTTGCAGTCAGGTTTGCGTCTGTCAATTATATCCTCAACATTAAATTTTTTATTTAATTAGAAAAAAAGGTAAAACCTTCGAGGGCCTCTTTGACGACGGCCACCACCTTGGACCAGAGAACATCAGGGTTGATCTCATAACGGCCTGGCTGCGGATATAGCAAAGTCACCTGAGGACAGAAGAGAGAAGTTAAACTGGGACTTATTGTTAGGTCAAAGTAGTTGTAGTAAATTGAGTGACAATTGCAATCACGTGCGGTGAAAAGCGCATTATTAAGAGCGCGTCAGAGGTCAAAGGGCACATGATTTTATTGGTTCAAAGACCTCGGATGACTCAATCAATTGGAATGTAGAATATAAACCGCAGGCACATTTTTGTTTTATTCAAGGCCTTGCGGTTTTCACGCAGATGAGCCCGAAAATTGATCTGGTCAATGACCATTATGTTTTTTTTAAGTCACAGATATCATAGATAAAATAATTTGTCACCTGGTTTGTTTGTTTTTCATATCAGCTCTTGTTTAATATAGGTTCCAATTTTTTTTTCAGGGGTCGCCGTTATCTGGTTTTTATCTTGTTTTGAAAATTGATATATATTTACATGGGTTCAAATAGATAATTGTATAATAAGTGGGAGGGAAAGCTGCGCGTAATTGAAGCGACACACCTGCGGGAGCGGTGCACTTTCTATTGTCCGGAATGCTTAGTGAGGCTTAATTTCACGGTGCATAAACATAATTTTAATACTCTTCTGCCAATCTAAGCAAAAACTTTGATGATTTCTGCCACAATATTAATATAATATTTTTGCTGAGTTAATGACATAAAAATGTACTGCAATTTGAGAAGAAAAAAATTTGTTTCAACCTCAATGCTTTTTTAATTCCTAATTGCACAAGTCATTTTAGGGTGAACAGCATAAAAAAAACTCCTTGAAAGTGATTAAATCTGTACGAAAGAGATTTTTGAAGAGGGTCGGACAGAAATAGTCTCGGGAGAGTACACTTGAGACGGGAATAAGACGACTTAGGTGTGCACAAATAATTCACCAGCCTCTTTGGTGTGGTGACAATGCACATTATGGTATATAAGAACGGCTCATACGGAACTGATTTAATTTGAAAGTCAAATTGTGATTGTTTGTCCTGACAGAAGCAATTGGAAACTGCCGAAAGGCAGAAACATTATCCGCCTGAATAAATTTAAAGCTCTAGAATTTTGACAGGGCCAAAGGTTATTTATAATTGTTTGGAAAAGGAAATATTATTTGCTCTATCAGATTTGAGGCAAATTGATTTTTTTTTTAAATCTTGGTCTTTCCTTTATAAATATTAATCTGTTTTGGAAAAAAATAAGTTTTCCTAAAATTTGAGATCGAAATTGACACTGACCTGCCGAGTGGCAGCGCCGACGACCTGAGCAGCCTTGTTGAAGATGTGGCAGCGCACTGTGGTGGTGCCCACGTCCAGGGCGGCCACGAACCGCTTTTCGGCCGTCTGCTGCTGCTGCTGTTCGGCCATGTGCTCTCCATGCCGTGGCCGCGCCGGCACTGACTTGCTCTGCGTCATCCGCAGAAAGGCCCCTCCACTCTCCTACCGGCCCTGCGTCGCCGTCATATCACTCGGACGCGCTGACTCCATCGCTCTTCAACCTGATAATTCACATTTCGACCAATCAATTTGCAATCATTCAAGGTGACATTAAATGGGTGGAAATGTTTAAGACTGATTTATGTATGTCAACAGGAATTGTAAATCATCTTAGTTTTTTGGACAAAATCTTTTTGGTATTCCAAAATGAAAAATTGCTTTTTTTTTAATCTCGGCTTTTGATAAATAATTTAAAATCTAAAGAAATTCAAATTAAGTGCTTACAACAGAGTCATTTGTCTAAAAAAAAGTTTACTGAATAAATTTAAAAAAAAAAATGCCAAAATTTTTATATTTATTTGCTATTATTTAAAATTTAATTAAGAAATAATTTAAAAAGTGTAAAATAATATTTATTTTAAAGTTAAAAAATTTCTTTATCAGTTTAAAAAAATCAGCTTTAAATTTCAAACCTTTATAGCTTTTAACATTTAATTTACTTTAAATCAATAAATCTAATGGGCGTGACTCTCCAAGCTAATATTTTCCACAATTTTCCACAAACATTTTGCAACAAGAATCAAGCTTTTGCTCTTTGCGTTGCTGACTAATAAAATTAAATGCTTATATAAATATCAGCGCACTCTGAACAGGAAATTTGTATTTTATAATGACGGTTCAATTATTATATGGTTAAAAAAATTAAAATATAAATTACATAAGTTCAGTGTAAAGACTTTAATTTGAGTTTTAGCAGTTGTTGTAAAAAAAATTCAACAAGAAAAAATATAACGCTTCTTAAAAGCAATTATAAAGGTGCAAAAAACTTTTTAAACAATTTTAAATAAATACACGAAAGGATTCAAGATTCAATTATTTTTCACACTTTGAGATCAACTTACGGATTACATCGTTGAATCATTTTGTCGTCAAGTGCGAAATTTAAGTACAAGCCGCCTCAACACGTCAAAAACCCCGCTTTAAATTTAGTTCATTTTTTGTTTTCTTTCGATGAGTTGAATTCTAGAATTTTTCCACCCTCAAACCAACAGCGTACCCGCACTAGTGCTAAAACTTTTCATTGTCAGCTGATTTGCTGAACTTGTTTTTATTTTTTCCTTGCGGGATTTCTATGGATTTTGCCCGAAAGGTTAGACTTTTAGCCAAGAGATGGCTTGTCCTGCTTAAATTCCTGTATGCTATTTGATGCTATTCATAAAAATGGTAATGGCTAGTAAACGAAGGAGATAAAAATGGAGTTAGAAACTATTGACTAAAATGTAAATTTTAATTAAAATAATCAGTATTGCGATTGATTTTAAACTTTTAATAATATTTAACCCATTTAACGTGATAAAAACAGTTTTAATGGTTTTAAAAGTGGTAATTAAATATTTACATTTCCGCTCCCCCTCTTACACCCCATTTCAATGCAAAACATGCCGACAGGAAACAGGAATGTAAAGGCACCACAGGCCCTCAACCTTTGACTTTGAAGGGCCAAAAGACCTGTAAATATGCTTCGGAAGGCGCGGGCGGTACTCGTAGACCTGAGCGGGACACTTCACATAGACGACACTGCGATTCCAGGTGCCGTCAATGCCTTGAAAAGGTTAAAAACTTAATCTAAATAATTATATATTGACCACCCTTTGTGACTCTCAACAGCCGTCCATTACATAATTTTTTGGTGCAGGTTGCGGTCGTCAGGGTTGAAGGTGCGATTCGTGACAAATACGAGCAAGGAGTCTTCGCGGGCGCTGCACTCCCGGCTTTTGGACCTTGGCTTTGAGGTGACAGCTGAAGAAATGTTCAGCAGTTTGGCCGCTACCCGACTGCTGGCCTTCGAACGTGGTCTCAGGCCTCTGTTCCTCGTCGATCCGGCTGCTGAGGAAGAATTTGAAGGGCTTGATTCAAATCAGCCTAATGCTGTCCTCATCGGACTAGCACCAGGGCAGTTTAATTACCCGAAGCTCAACCAGGCCTTCAGGTACATTTAGGTTTGACCTTTTATTGAACCATGAATAATTCTTAGGCTGAAAATTTTAATTTTAGAAACCCGAAGAATTTTTTTTTTTAATTCTTTTAATCTGGATTTGGCTATGAATATTTGCAATTTTGGAACTGGTTTTTCAGGATGGTTACCTGAGAAATAGTTATTTACGATGAATATAGTAAATTTAGTTAAAGTAATTTAAGCAATATTTCCCGATATTTCCAATATTTAATGAATATTATAACGATCATAACAATTGTTTCTCGTATTTTTATTTTACAAATTTATATGTTTTAAAATTTATATTATCAATTTAGTTTTTCAGATAAAAATAAGAACTTGACAAATTGTAATACTTATTCATAAAAAATTTAAAATTTAATTTGAAGATAAATCAAAATAATTTTTTCAAGTGGTATGAACTAATTTATACACTATTATACACATATTTGGTTTTAATTAGAAAATAATGAAATTAAAAAATTCAAAGTAAATTTTAATTGAAATGTTGATCTTTTCCAGATTAGTTCTCGATGGTGCACAACTGATTGCAATTAACAAAGGTCGTTATTATCAGACCAAGGATGGTTTGTCTCTTGGTGCAGGTTCGTTTGTTGCTGCCTTGGAGTACGCAACTGGAAAGCAGGCGGAAGTTGTTGGAAAGCCTACCAAAGCCTTTTTCCAGGCCAGTCTGCGAGGACTCGATGTCCAACCTGACGAAGTCATCATGATAGGAGATGTAATAATCCAACCTTAGATAAAAATAAAGAAAAATAAAAAAAACTTGCATTATTTTAAATTTTAGGATGTGAAGGACGACATTCTAGGTGCCGTGGAAGCGGGAATTCAAGGTGTTCTGGTCAAAACTGGAAAATTCCGACCTGGGGATGAGGATAAGCTACCTGAAGGTGCCTTCCTTGCAGAAAATTTCCCAGACGCCGTTGATATGATTCTGCGAGCTAAGAAAAATTTGTGATCTGAGTGTATTTTTACTGTGTATTAATTTATTTAAAACTGTTGGCTATCAAAAACAATTTATGAATAAGTCTATATAAAATCAAAATTCAACAATGGGCAGTCGGAAGAAAGCGGCAGAAGTAAAAGTTGGAGTGGAATTCTTATCATTTTGGTCTGGATTTTGGCCGGTGGCGCTTGAGGTGGGTGTTTTACTGTCCACAATTAAAGCGGCGGGCGCAGCCTTTCTAGGAATGAAATCATCGCATGATTAGCAACAATGCTGTCGGTCGGCGGCGGCGGCGAAAGATCGCGAGCGGTCTGCGCGCGAGGTCGTTACGAGACGAGCGAAGGAGCCGCGGGCCACGCAAAGTGGGCCGTGGGAATGGAAATCGCACACACAGAGCAAGCCGCTCGCCAAAAGCTAGTTAGGCAACCGGCAATGTAAGCAAAAAGCTCGGCTCATTTTAAGGAGAATAGGCTATTTAATCGATTAAGAAAATAAATAAATAAAAATTCCTTAAATTCAGAAGTATTGAAAAAAATGGCAAAAGTATTATTTAAAAAAAAAAAAAAATAGTACATAACAATTCCTGAAAAAATATACTTCAAATTATTTTTTTAAATTTCAAAACATTTTATTAGATGTTGTAGGTTTATGTTTCTGAAGTATGACAAAAATTTCAGATTTTGGTACTTTTTGGGAACCGGGCAGGTTGCCGAGGAGAGAGGGGATCAGCTGAGAGTGGAATGCCATTCATCGCAGCCTGTTGAGCAGCTTGATTTCAACTCATTCGAGTCGCAGCCACCAGCGCAACAGCAGCTAGCAGGAGCCGCGCGAGCAGCCCAGGTGATGCCGAAAAATGTGAGTTCTCGCCTCAGTTTAGTCGATTTCTTGGCCGAATCGCTCTAATCGAAACGTCACTTCGTTGACGATCGAATGACAGACTTTTTTTCGATTCGCGGCCGTGTTTGCGCCGCGATTCACGCACAAACACGTGTTCGTCCAGCCGGCATTTAAATCTTTCACGAAACCAAAATGGTTCGCATCGCTGCTCAATGGGGACAATTTTGACGGAAAATTCTTTCTGTCATCGTGTTGCGTATTTTGGAAAGGATTCGCCAACGATTTGTCTGTACGAGTGTATGTAAATAAAAAGCGTGGAGTTTCTAGAAATTTTCATTTCCCTCTAGTTTATAAAATTAGAATTTTTAGGGTTCCGAATAATGGAAAGAGTTTTGGAAAATGGAAAATTTGCTACGAATTGTCTGTTCGTTTCTCGCAAGGGTTCAATCTCAGTTGGGCCCCTGCCGACCCCACGTGGCCCCGACAACTTGGCGAACAGTCTGGTCGGTGACGTCACGACAAATAGATTTGGTGATGGAAAAAGGCTGTGCTGTCGCTAAGGGGGTGCTTTAACAACCCTAGAAATTGTAGCCATGCGGGTCAGTAACAATCATTAAATTGGTTTACATTCATTTCATGACTTGACAGTGAGGCAAAAGTCCAATTTACACCAGACTTTTTTTTTCAAAATGTAAACTTTAAAAATTAATTTCAAATTTTCATTTAATTTTCATTCTTTTAATTAATGAAAAATAAACCAATTTAAGAAATTATTACAAAAATTTACGTGTTTTTTTATTTTATTATTATTTGTCCATCGTTTCTCGATGTTGACACTTGACCGAGCGAGTTTAAAACACTTGGGGAGAACAAACATGTGGTTGTCGTCGGTCAGTTTTTGCAATTCGGTGACGAAAATCGGCCGACGGACACTCGGAAAAGACGTGGGGCCGACCGACACCGGCCATTTTGTGTGCTGCGTTGCGTCGCACTCTCGGCGCTTGCAAATTATTTTGGCAAACTGCCCGCTTTCCGCCGAACCGACTTGCTATCACCAAAAATGCAGTTTGTTTTCGCAAAAATAAAATTCAAATGCAAAAGTGCCTTGCATGCTTCAAACTTCCTCACTAACTTTTTCCCGAAAAGGTGATTAAAAAAATAAATTTATAATGACTCTTTTGGAATTTTGTTGGGAAAAATAAGCATATTTAATAATATTATAAAATAATTATCAAAAGACGTTGAAATGGAAGTATTTTAATTGGGTAAGATTTAACTCTTTCAAAGCAATATGCAATTTTATTAATAATGAACTTTTATCACTATTATTTATATTTTACAAATTTATTGTTTCTTAAATTTATGCAATTTTGAAAGAAAGTCTCACATAATTTGACAAAATAAACCAACCCTTTTTTCTTTTTTTTTTTACTTTTCATAATTGATAATTCTTTTTGCAAATGTCTAACTCGTTGCTGAATCAAAAACGTTGGACAATTTGTTCGACATTCCTTCGTGATTTTGTCGGCAAAGTTGAAAAAGTCGATTTTCGCTTATTTAATTTTTTCTGAGCGCTTTTTTATTGCGTTCGCGTGACGTCGGCCGCTGGCTGCCGAAGGAATTCCGCCCTGATTTGGGCCGCCCGCCTGTTCACCTTCTTCTTCTTCTTTCTCATGCTCAAGAGAAAATACATAATCTGGGCGAGCGCCATTCACTCGAAGGAATTCTTCTCTTCGCCTATAGTGTTCACCTCTTGTTATACTCAAGGTGGCTGCCTCCGGCGGAAAGGTCCGTTGGGGGAGGAACGCCACCCCCTAAACGGGAATTTATATATTTTTTTTCTTCAAAATTCTTTATTTTTTCGGCCTTCCTGCGTACAAAAAGCAAAGAAAAAAAATAGAGGAGGAACCAAAACTATTTGAAACAAAGAGTCTCTGACTTTGCTTTTTCGTCGTTGTTCTCGGTGGCTGGTCATGCACGTCGGCGCGGCACCCGCCGCTTCCGAGCCCAATTAGCCGGCTCGCGACTTAATTTGCGCCGACAAATCAGCCGAAAACACACAAACGGCACAAACGCTTTGTTTCGCCTCCCTTTGCAGAGCCCCATTGAGGAAAGAAAGCCAAGCGCCACAAAATCTTTTGCTCTTTTTGCTCCATATCTGCGCAGATACGGGTGTGGGGTTTTCCTTTTCCTGGATTTGAGTAATGAACGCCGGTTGGAGTCGATTAAAACTCGGATCTAGCGGAAACAGATCCAGTAGTCAACATTTCTTAAATTGTCCAGGGGTAAATATCTTACACAGAGATTATCATTTCAGAACGGAAAAATTTCATGTTTATATCTAGTTTTTGTTCGGAATGAGGTTTGAACTTCTTCAAACGTGCAAGTTTATATTGGTCTTGGTTTATAATTATCTTCCCCGGGCCCAAGGGTGAGACCAGACATAAAAATTTGCCTTAAATTGATCATTTTAATACTGAATTTTGAAGAAAACGAAGGAATTTATTAAATCTCATACTCAGGTCGTTTCTACCTTTCTCAGGGTTTGATCACTGTGGTATTATTCGTCAGGGTAAGTTCAGATATGTGCAATCAGCAGTATAATTTACTATATTAAAAAAAACAAGTCTTTTTTTAGCGAGAGAGAAATTGCTTATATCAGGTCATTGAGACTACTCATTGTCAGGGTGAAATTAATTTAGTTTTATTGCTCAGGATTTTTTTCCAAAATTTCTTTTTATCTCCAATTGTACTTTTTTTTAAACAAATCTTGCATTCTAAAAAGGAGAAAAATCCATAAATTGATTATTGTTATTGTGTCAGGTCAATTGAATCTTTCTCAGGGCGCAATAGCTTTGGTTTTATTAGTTTTTTTTATAGTTTATTTTTTTTATTTTTGCCAATTTTGGAAACGCATTTTGGAGTTATGGTCGTGGGTCGATGGGAAACAAACGGGTTTATACTTTTTGCTGTTTTACGGGCGGCAGACGGCGGATTGGAAATCGGACGCCGCATCAAAGGAGTCCCGCTAATTATTGAGAGGAATTTGCGTGCCCAGCCCGATTTATTGCTTTTTTTCCGTCCGAGAGCCGCGCGCGCGTAACCTGAGACCTGAAAAGACGACGAACCCCACCTGGCTCGACCGGCCGGTCGCCAAATGCCTGCGACGGATCGAAAATTGACGAGTTAGTGCTAATAAAATATTACGGAATCAAATCGTAACTCTCCACTGATCAAAGAGATTCCTAAAAAATAACTCACACTTTCCAACCTGTGAAGTCGATGCTTTTAAGATGAGAGGTAACATTTTTTTGATAAATTATATATCATTAATAGCTTCTCAGTTGAAGCTCTTTTACTTATTGTAAATTCTTTACAAATTTAACAATTCATGTTAAATTTTAAATAAATATTATTTTAATTTTAAAATAATTGATTCAATTAAATAACTATTTATTCTGTCAAAAATATAAACTACAATTATGTTAGTATTATCAACTCCATTTACAATCACTTATTGTTATCAAAATGCCACTGAAGATGCGTCATTAGATTTTTCTCAATTTTTTTTCTGCAATTGAATTGCTCTTTCGATCCGCCCAGATATTTTTTATTTGGTACTTTTATGTACTACTATTATTCGAAAGGTGAATAAAAAAATTCTTGGTACTCGATTTGTGGAAATTGGTTATTGGCCGTGCCTGGCAAGAAGTGGCATCCGTTTCGCGATGGACCATTGAGGTGTCGGCGGCGCAAAAAGCTGCGGCGCCGTCCGAGCGGCCACCCAGCGGCAGCGTCGTCGCCATTCATCGGGCCGAGCGTGAATGGGGCGTCCGATTCGCTGCACCGTCGGTAATTGGAGTCGAGCGAGACGAGAGACCGAGGGAGAACAAGATAGAGAGAGAGAGGACCGCGTGGGAAGATGCGCCGAGAGCATCTTATCGCCGGAAGTTACAGGCGCCGGCCGACTTCGCCGAAAATTACCAGATCCTAAAGATGGACCTCAAATTTGGTTCGGCCCTATACCTTTTAGTCCAATCCGGATTTAGAATTATCATAATGAAAAGCGGGTTTTAATGATGGATTAAATTGAACAAATATCACAAATTTAATCCAAATTCTTTTCACGGGGACTAATAAAGAACACATTCCATTTACTTTTCAAAACTCGTATTTTTTCTTCTTTTCTACAATCATATCGGATCATATAATTATCAAAATTGCCCTTTAGAAACTGGTTAAAAATTCGGTTGAAAAATGGTACTCGTTGTTTAAATTTCTAACTCCGATCTAACTGCCTGAGGAGTTTATATTTTACTCTACAAATTTTCGCTAATTGGTTGCGCCGCCCGTGTCATCAGCCCATTTTGCACGGCCATTCAAATAGTGGAGCCGCAGCATCACAAATTCCTCCTCCTCCCTCCCGCCAGAAGCAAGTTTCCTCTCTTCTTTTTCTTCTTCTTCTTCTTTACCTGCTGCTCTTCTCTGTACCATGAGAGAATTCCTCCGCTATCGCACCCCTCGCCGGCCGATTCTGAGAAAAGCCCTCTCCTTCCCGAATTCTCTTATCCTAACCCAACAAGCGGAGCCTTCTCCGAGCGGGCCGACGATCTCCAACTGGCAAACGCCGTCTGTCAACCGCTCAATTGAATTTCCCTCTCTGCTCTGGAATTTTAATTTGTGATAATTGCCGAGTACTGAGGTGTTTATTTTTTAACATTGATCGAGATGGAGAATTAAAAGCAGCCATATTTGGTAAGGCCCGGCTTTTAGAAGGCCTAGTTGGGCTATGATCAACAACTATTGTGGATCAACACCATCCGATCTGGCCGATAAGCTGCGCTGCCGGACCGCAAATTAACATTTTTCCAGGTCCAGCCAGCATTCCCACGTTGGAGCGTTTCCAATTTGAAGCCGATAAGAACAACCAATGTTTACCAACACGAGCAAACACAACACCACAAAAAAATTCATGTTTTTCTGCCCTAACCCTAAAACGTCAGTTTTCTTTTAATATT